ATGTTGCTCGTGAGAGGATTGACACTTACATCAGATCATCACTGCGCACTGCTTTTGCTCAGGCAAGTTCAAGCATGATTTCCCTATCTGTAATGATGGAATCTGCTAAGTGAATATTTAATCTGACAATAGACTGAAGAAGACGGAAGAGCCTTCAACTCTTACCAGTAAATATCTATCTCAAGTGTTTTGGAGACCACTTTAGGACTTTGCCTTTCTGATGAAGAATTTAGATCATCATGATTTTTTGATGCATTCTTAAAAGAAGTTTCTATATAAATCTACTTTCTGCAATACATGCATCTATTACAATTTTTTTCCCATGCATGAAATAATTCATAAAGCCTTCCTTTTTCACTCTCCTTTTAGCAGAATTTTTCTATTTCATTTATACCCTTTCAGTTAATATTTATGTCTCAACTACGGTGACTTAAGGTTTGTTTTGATCTTCTTAGAACAGAAAATGGAGAAAGTTAATGCAAGCAAGCATTTATCTAGCCACCGGCAAAATCCTCTTCCTCTCCTGTCTATTCTTGCACAAGACATCAGTGAACTGGCTTTTAATGAGAAGGCAATATTTAGTCCCATACTGAAGAGATGGCACCCTCTTGCAGCAGGTGTAGCAGTAGCCACGCTTCATTCTTGCTATGGGAATGAGCTGAAGCAATTCATTTCTAGTATCAGTGAATTGACACCTGATGCTATCGAGGTGCTGACGGCTGCTGACAAACTGGAGAAAGATATTGTGCAGATCGCGGTTCAAGATTCAGTAGACAGTGAGGATGGTGGGAAGTCAATTATCCGAGAGATGCCTCCTTATGAGGCTGAAGCTGTAGTTGCCAATCTTGTGAAGTCATGGATAAAGACAAGAGTTGACAGACTGAGTGAGTGGGTTGATAGAAATCTGCAACAAGAGGTATGTAACGACGTCTTGTTAAGTATTTGAGTTGTTGCTGATGCTGTTTTTGTTACTGTGGTACAATATTATGAAAGAAGATAGCACATGCATTAGTTGTTTGTTCATAGCAAGATTGTAGAATCCAAGTGGATTCTACAATGCAGTAGTTATCCCTTTTGCATTTCCATGAAATGACCTGGCACCTTTATGATGCAGATATGGAATCCACGGGCAAATAAAGAGAGGTTTGCTCCTTCTGCTGTTGAAGTTCTACGAAGTGTAGATGAAACTTTGGAGGCATTCTTCTTGTTGCCAATACCTATGCATGCGGTCCTACTTCCTGGTTTGGTTACTGGACTTGACCGATGTCTGCAGAATTACATACTGAAGGCAAAATCTGGCTGTGGTATGTAATGCATAGCCTGCAAACACGCATTGATTTTTAATTTGGAAACACCTAAAATACCTAAATTTCTTTTCTATAATGTGCAGGGACACGAAAGACTTTTATTCCTACTATGCCTGCATTAACTAGATGTACAACAGGATCAAAATTTCATGTATTTAAAAAGAAGGAGAAATCGCAAATAACCCAGAGGAGGAAATCTCAGGTTGGGACCATGAATGGCAATAACTCCGATGGGATACCCCAGTTATGTGTACGTATTAATACTTTGCAGTTTATTCGCACACAGTTGGATGTTTTGGAGAAGAGGACTGCCATCCAGCTTAGGAATTCTAAAGCTACCATTCTGAATGATTTTGCTGATGGAAATGGGAAAAAGTTTGAATTTTCAAGATCTGCTTGTGTTGAAGGCATCCAGCTGCTCTGTGAGACAACAGCATACAAGGTTATCTTTCATGATCTGAGTCATGTTCTTTGGGATGGCCTTTATGTTGGAGAAGTTTCATCTTCTAGGATTGAGCCTTTTCTTCAGGAGCTTGAGCAATATTTGGAAATTATTTCATCTACAGTACATGACAGAGTAAGAACACGTGTTATCACAGATGTTATGAAAGCTTCTTTTGATGGATTCCTGATGGTTTTGCTTGCGGGAGGCCCTGTTCGTGCTTTCACTCTTCAAGATTCTGAAATAATTGAGGAAGATTTCAAATTTCTCACGGATATGTTCTGGTCCAATGGAGATGGTTTGCCAACAGATTTAATTGATAAGTATTCAACCACAGTTAAAGATGTTCTCTCCTTGTTTCATATAGATTCTGTGAGCCTGGTTGAGCAATTCAGAAGTCTCTCCTTGGAGAGTTATGGCTCTTCTGCCAAATCCATTCTGCCAATGCCTCTGACTTCAGGTCAATGGAATTCTACAGAACCAAACACAGTCTTGCGCGTTTTGTGTTATCGGAATGATGAGACAGCTGCAAAGTTCCTTAAGAAGTCCTACAACTTGCCTACGAAACTATAACAGCCTTGGGACAGTGGATTGGCAAGATGGTGCAATTCGTTGGCAAAACAACTGCTGCAAAATGATTATTGTAGCTTCATTGGTATTTATATCATCAACCAGACACCAAAAGCACCAGCAACATGGTTTTGACGGGCGAGCTTTTGTTAAGAGGGGCTGTACCCACTGCATATAGAGTAAATCCTTATATTATTGTAGCCTTCACCAGTCAGTCACAGAGAACTTAAACAGGACCATAGACATGCTCCTTTGTATTGAGGACTAACACCCCAGCAATTTAGAAACCTCAAGCACAAGGGTGCAGGCATGGAATAACCAATTAATTATATTTTACCCGACAAAGACAACTACTCCATCCAATTGTATAATCACAGGCATCGGATGTACATGGTGCTGTTTCAGCTTTGTTGTGTTTCATATTTCCTTATTCCGCTTTTTCTTTTTTCTTTTTCTTTATCTTTTGCCACAGGAAGTGGAAACTGACTATGGGAAAAAAAGATAAGAGGTGTGAAAATTTATTATGATAGTTTGAGAGCAGCTGTTGAGCTTATATGTCGAGCTTTTCTATCTGATTGTTTTGCTTCAGAAGAATTGAGTTGAAATTTAGGAATTTGATGCTAAGTTTGTGTTGCATGTTGGGTTTTGCGTTGTATGTTTTTCTGATTTGCTACTATAAATAAAGTTTCTTTTCATCAGAACAGAGATGCTGGCAGACTGTGAACAATGCTCTTCATTTTAAGATTGCAGAGATTCGGCTCACCATAGAAAACAAAAAGTTCCACTAGCAGCCGGAGGGTTGGAACCTTCAGGGTCAATTGCAATCTAGTGTTGAGATGCCCTGACTCACACAGAGGACTGGTTTGTTTTGGGTAAAATAAGTTCCTGAAGCTTGTTTTCTCTAATTTTTCATGTTTGTTTCGTCATCCTGGTAATTATGAAGAGGTAAGGTGCTTTATCAATCTTAATTTCTATTGCCACAATGTGGTTTTGGTCGGTTAACCTTGAATGCTGTCGGTTTTTCTATGCACTTGATAGTGGCATATCAATAAATTATAAGAGATTTAAATTGGTGGAGAAGTGAAATATTCAGTAGATCAACCATGACTTTGCAGTCAATCTGTCTATAAGCTCGCACCTGGAATACATGGATTACTTTCAATAGATTTGAATTGGTTAAGAAATGAAATAGTCAATAGATCAACTAAGACTTCATAGTCTATCTGTCTATACACTGGTACTTGTCATATATGAATTTTTGGTAATAAATTCAAATTGGTTGGGAATGTGATATTCAGAAAGTTTTTATTGTATGAAATATGTTTGAAAATGATAATTGATGGGAATCAGTTAGAAGGGGAGTGAAAAAACGAGGGAGCACAAGATCAGGTTTCTGCAAGGTGATTCTGTTGCTGGATTTAATTTTTCATAAAAGCTTGATCTTGTTACCTGAAGCTATATGTTTCTACTTTGTTGATTCTTCTTGAATATTTTGGTTTCAGGCTTTATCTATTTTGAGTGAGGTTGTAAGGCAGGCACCGCTTGTGGCTGACTCGTACCATACACTTGGACTTGTCCATAAAGCACTTGGCAATACTGAAAGGGCCATGAAATTTTATAGGATTGCTGCATTTCTGAGACCAAAAGATTCATTTATGTGGAAACTAATTTTTTAGCTGGCACGCGTAAGCTTTTTAAAATTTGACGTTATCATTAAATGTGGCATGGCCTTTTGGATTTGATATGACCAATATATTTTCTTGATGGTGTTCTTACGAGTTCAAATGATAGATATATGCTTCCTGTAGATCACTGCTCTTAAGCTTTGCCAATTTGCACCTCATTCAGCTTATCCAGAATTCTGGATGGCAGTGGGAGTTTTAGTTTCCAGACTGTACTCGTTGCTATTTGGTAATTTTGCCAAGTTCAAATATTCATGCTGTACTTGACAAACACTAGAATATATATTTTCCCTTTGGTAATTTTGCCAAGTTCAAATATTCATGCTGTACCTGTACTTGTTAAACACTAGAATATATTCTCTCAAAACCATATCTAGTTGATTTAACAATCACAATTTATTTTTATATCAAAATCTCAATTTTTTGTATCAAATAAAAACTAAAATATATTTTTCAATAATTTTTTCATATAATTACCAGACACCAAAAATTAATTTTTTAAAAAACAATTTTCTAAAAAATAGTTTTTCAAAATTATTTTTCCTATTCCGCCAAACAAATAAAAGCCTAAATGCATCAGCATAGCTCTTTCGATTACTTCTGCCTATTCATTGAAAAAAGAGTGCCCCTGTCGTATTACTAGAGAGCTGTTATATACTTATTTCCAATCCACTATTGCAAATGACTAACAGTGTCTAGATGAGAACAGAAGCATTAACTTCAAGAACCCCTTTAATTTATCCAGTTCTATTTCGGCCTACCCTAAGCCCACCGGAAATTAAAAAATCGAGAATAAAATCACTGAAAGATTTCATTGATAAAGAAAATTGGTCAATGAATCATCTCACGTGTATTAGAGAAACTTAGCCATCCATCAAGACATCAAGAGGCTAGTATCGAAATCTGCTTGCTATCATCATTCTCAGTACCGATCTAATGCTATTAATCCAAAATTGATTAGTCTTGTTAAAACATCATAATGTTGGGACCAATACAAGATCATATAGGTAAAGACAGCAAAATCTTTCTGACTGAATTGCATTTTGCAGACCATGCCTCTGCAAGATCCCTCTCAAAAGCCTCTTGCATATAATTATATGAATTACAGATGGATGAGTACATTGGCCTATAATTTATTTCGCTAGTGCCAGGGGTTTCTCTTACCAGTTCCGCTTCTTTTTGAGCTAGAAGTTGAGCTTGCTTTCTGCCATGAGAACAAGTAAAAAGCAGTTAGAGTAAGCACCTAGGTTTTAATCCCAAGGCATATACTTGCAAACATCAATCCTTCATACTCACCGATTTCGACTTTTTTGTCTTCCCTCGGATCCTGTTCTTCGGAGGCTTCAATTTGTATATGCGAACCATCCAATGGTGAGTTGTGAATACCTAAATTAACAAGAACCCAAATTCTGACTAAATGGAAACAGACAAAATTTCATGACGGAATACTAATCATCTACCACTAGTCATTTCCCAAAAATAACTTTTTTTGAGTATTTTTTTTCCATATGAAGCCTTAGGTAATCGCATAACAAAGAAAAATGTATTGTTTGCATGCATTATTTCGCTCCAGTTTTAGAAGGCCTGCAAATTGGTTGCCTCGTTGTCTGCATTTCTTACATGTGCAAATCATTGTTTCCATGCATTATTTCTCTCCAGTTTTTCGGGGCCTGACTATTGGTTTGCCTATGTTGTCCATACTTCTATCATGCACAAATCATATTATCTTACCTCCTCAAAATGGGTAAGTTTGAAATACTTCTTCCCAATTTCTGTTCGCCTAACTCTATCAAAGCCTTTACCATCAGTGTCAACAAACCTGCAGTAAAAACCAAACAAATGTTTTAACTTCAGAAATAAATATATACTTCACGTTTAAATAATTAGGTTAAAGGAAAAATCAGACCTGTAATATGATAGTTTGTACATGAGACAATTTAGCATGGTTGGAGTAGCCTGAGAATCAATCCGATATTGACCGTCTCTCTTTGAACAGAAAGAAAGGCAATAATCAATAAGATTAAGCATCTACCAGTCTTAGCCATGATGCATAAATATCTATCACTTATTACATGTGAGCCAACATTTTAATTACTCAGAAGAATCTGAAAGAACAGAAGTAATGCAACTTGTATAAGAACTCACTAAATAATCAGGTTCTTTTATATGAGGGTACACGCCCCCTCCTATTCGAACCATCCATAGGAACTTATTGATATCATCACTGGGGTAGCCAACAAGACCTGATCAGTTGAGCAATCCATCAGAACAATACATTTCTTTCAACTCAAGACTGATCTGAGTATGTGCAGAAGGAAACAAACCTCCAAAGACAACTAGAACATATTTTACATCCAAGGAGTTAAAGATTTCCCAGGCTGCCTTCTCAGGAGAAGACATAGCAGTACCAACAGTTGCAATATGTGTGTTATTCCAGGTATTATTGTCAACAATAACAGTGCGGTTAGCCATTGCAGTTGTTTGATAACCATAGTCCCACCATGATGCAACCTGCATGAATCAAAAGCCACTTCATCTTTCATTTGGTGAAAGCATCCAAATTGGGAGGTTCAAAGTAAACAAAAAGAAAGAGCTCCAATTTATGTTACAAAATGGTGAATAAACATTTCCTGCTACAAAAGTAAGAAGTAAAAATGCAACTAATTAGGGGGACATGAGCCAATATATCACAGACAAGCATCTTTCTGTCCACCAAGCAGCAGCACTATGACAAGCTGCTGTATATTCATTTTCACGTTTATTATGGTATCATCTCAGTGAAATTTTAATCATAGGACTCCATACCATGGGTACCAGATTGTAATTGTCAAGCAAATTACATTAATTTTCCTATCACATTTTTGTGTTTTCTAAATACAGGCTTGACAGTTCTACTTAATCCAAACATAACACAATACTGACTGTCAAATTCTGTAATCTGTTTGAGCCTTTCATGGTCAAACTTATAGAAGCGAGTTTGGCACATAAAGCCAATACCACGGTGCATAAAGCTTTGGTGTTATCGTTCTAGTGGACTGGAGGTCAGCGATTATAACAATATAACATAACGAGGATACATGAAGCCTGATATCTAACAGACTGCTATCATTTTATAAGCCCTAGAGAAAATAAATAGTCAGTTTATCCACTCAATATTTTCTGTTACAAGCCCATAATACCAATGATTTCCAGGAAATTCATATAAAATGTTCCAATATTTTGATATAAAACAAAATAATAATAATAATAATAATAATGTTAGGAAGCTTTTAGGTGCACCTATTGCATATAATAAACTTGGAACACAATTTTTAAACATGTTCTGGCATACAGAATCCATGATCATCAAATGGGTACAACAAGACAGAAGTATGGTAAAAACTTACTTTATCATCCACCTCAGTATTGTGGCTTAGCCATGCATAAGCCTCTCTGAAATCATCAAAAACATGTAGACCACCACCTGGTGAATAAGATGTTAAAACAATAGAGGGTGCCGAATAAGCTTCTGCTGCTGCCCAGACACAATGAACCTACAAAGACGAAGGTAAGCTGTAATCAGATGTCTCCTTAATCAGATAATTCCCGGAAATTTAAGCAATAATGAGTAATTACAGGCATAACCTTTGAGTTGCAAATTCCTACGGAATGTAATTATGCTTAGTTCATCTAATCAGATAGAAACTTCAGACTGATGCTTGAAGAGGAACAAGGAGGAGGTTGGAGAGAGGGGTTCATTTTTTAAACATAATAGGAACATAACTTAGTGGGTCAAATGCTTACATTTAACTTATTCTCATATTAGGCTTTCGATCAATAAAAAGTGGTCAGGTGATTGGCTTTATTTGTTTTTAGTGACAAATTTTTAATGAAAGGGAAATCACAAGAATATCATAATTACACACTTGAAAGATTAGACGAGTGATATGGTGCACATCCCTGGAAAATATAAGAACAGCAGCTATCTTGCGGACAAGAAGAGATTCAGCAACAAACTCAGCAAGGATAAGGAGAGTTGAAGCTTAAAGAGCATGAAAGTAGAAAGAGCAAAGATAAATGAACTAAGATAGGAAAGGGAGCAGTGGAGTGCTGCTTAAGATAATGAATTACTCAGCTAACGATGCATAATTAATCAAACTAACGCATTTCAGATAATTGGGTTTAATCATTCTGTTGAACATTAAGCTCCATATTCTATAAGTTGTTTCCAAAATAGACTTCTAATTAATTCACGACACAATATCCTCCTTCCAGAAAGGATTACAAAATAATTACTTAGACCACAAGTTTTCTTCATGGTGAAAGTACCTCCACCTTCCTACTTATGAACTTTTTTCAGAGGTGTCAGTGAGTTAGTGGCTGTAAGCTAAGCACAGACATTAAGAGCAGCTGGCATCTTGCAAGCATTAACCTTCTTCATCATGAAGGTACAAAGTAGTTTATGGTGAAGTAATTTCATTCTAAGCGACTTTATTTTACTAAAACCAACAAAATTTTCTCCAAGCTCCAAATTAACTAACAAAAACCCAAACCTATGTAACATGCTAAATGTGATTTCCTTTTTTATTTTTTCATCAACATTTCAAAAATGGCTGCCAGTTCAGTATTAAAAGCCTGCAAGAAATGGTTGAAAAGGCGACTGCAGACAACTATCAGCCTTCATCAGACCTTTGTCTCTCTCTATGGGTTAGTGAAAGAGGAAATCTTTTGTGCAGAACCTTAATGGCTGCTACATCCCAAATACATGCAAGTCTTCAGCAATTATTATGGCAAGGATGTAGAGAAAAACTACCATGCATAACCATAAATGGTGTAGCAACATAAAAAATCTCAAAACATGAGCATGTATGTGAAATCTCACAACATAGGGAAAAAGTAAAGGAGAGTCTATATACCACATAGAAAGCGCCAAGCAACACAAGCAAGATAATAGCAATGACAGATGCCTCCAAAGGTAAAACAAGAAGTTTCTTTTCAATTCGAGACCTAACAGATGCCCTCTCCACAGGCTCTTTTTCTTTCTTCTTGTTCTTTTTTGATGGTCGTTCTTTTGCTTTCTCATCCATTTTCTCAGTCTTGGCTATGTCATTTTGTTCCCCATCAGAACTCATACTGGTATCCCCGGACTTAATCATCAACAGCATCAATGAAACCTTAGTCATAAAGTTGACTTCACAAATAACTGAGCAAGCATAAACCGATAGTACAGAGGAAAGCAAGCATGCTTACATCAGCTTGGGAAGTTCCCGATGATCCAGGAAGCTGAAACTTGATTGATCGTGTTAAGACATTAAAAGCCTCAGAAAGGGCAATCCCAGACATGATGCATGCTGCTGGAGCAAGTACGAGCATAAGACGCACCTATGGTATGAGGAAAACACATAACCACGTAAATTAATGAGCAGAGGCAAAAAAATCCAAAGAAATTAATTGTCCCAATATTCTTCTCACCATGACACCAGAAAAATATACAGATGTTACAATATAAAGCACAACAAAGGAACTTGCATCTGATAAAGGCAAAAAGCATGCCTGCCAAAAAAGAAAGACCATTATGAGACACGTCATTGGTGTGAAGTAATAGATTAAGAAGAAAGGTTGCATTTAAAACATGTAACTTACAATAATCCCAGCTGGAACCAAGAAAGCCAAAACATTAATGTCCATGAAGTAAGATGGCCAAGTAGGGGGTTGATGTTCGCTGACACTAGCAATGATTGGTATATACTTGCTTGCATAAGTTCTGTCATAATGCAACGAAAATAAGAATAAGACATAATGAATGTCAGAATCTATTGGGAATATCAGTCACTAAAAAAAGGTTAATAAATGTCTTCATGTAAGAGTATGACCAGGGACTAATTTTATTAATACAACTGGGATAGCATGTCATAGGGATTGCTGATGTGTCAAAGGACGAGAACTGGAAGAGATCTGTAGGGTGTTCATTTGAAGCAGGCCAGATGAAGCCCACTGAAGGACCAAACAACTCTAACCTAAAAGATTAAGTGGGTTCAGATAAGATTGCACCAACCCAAGTTATATCATTGAATACAACCTCTAGATTCCCTTGGACTGCATAGATTCAAAGCATAGTGAAGGCTTGTATGAATTGTGAAACTAGGTACTTACGGATCAAGCAAGCTCAAACTTCGTCCACTCCATCCCAATGTTGGGCTCGAAGCTACCATTGCTATTAGAACAGCTACTATAGCACAGCACACTACCCTGTCGAATATATAGTATTGAAGTATGGATATCAGTTTCAAATGCTTTCATAATACGTAAATATTAGAAAGTATTGATTCAATACATATCTAAACATCCATTCTTTACTGCATTCAAGTGTTAAGGAAAACAGATGACGAGGGGTGCTCACAGGCCCACAGATACAACAAGCGTAACAGCTACTTTAAACATTCTTGGAGAGAGAATCCCTTTGACATAATACACAAGAGCCACCACATGGATGATAATGAAAACCTGCAGAAGTAAAATTAGTACCAAGAAGACAATGAATAAAGAAAGAAATGCAGTTACAGAACTGCCCTGTTGCTCATGTATAAGGGCCTTTCTAGAAATCCAAAGTAAGCAACAATAAGGGCTCTATTGCTCATGTATAAAAATCACTCATGCTTCATACATTTATTTATGTCCCACTTTTACTGACAAAACCTTAAAAGCATGCTACACCTCTCCATACCAACAGCTTGAGTGGCTAATAAAAAATCGTTAAATATTAGTCTTGCACTCACAGGTTATACAATCACTTTGTCTCTAACTTGAAAGAGACAGCATGGCACAGCCATCTAGAAAGATTATTGCTTATAACATTTTTCCATTTTTGACTTCCAGAAAGATTGTTGATTACAACCAGTTTTTCATTTTTTACAAGATCACATATCTAAGGCTGCTAATAGTGTTTTTTCCAACTTGGTCTCTAACTTGAAAGAGACAGCATGACTGTTTTTTCCAACTTCCAGATGAACAAATAACCAAATGAACTTTTAAAAAAAGTCCTTTAATGAATTATGAGTTAAAATAACTCACCAAAAATGAAGCAAAATGCTCTGACGTCATTACTGCATTGAAACCAACAACAGGCACCAAGGCTGCTAATAGTGTTCCCAAGACCACCTGCATTGAAATGTCCACATCAACAAAAACCATGAAATTTCATTTGCATAGAGATGACTATTGCAAGTCTTCGATGTCTAACCAAGGAAGATTTCTTTACTCAAATGTATCAGTCAAACTAGTCATCAATTGACAGGTAACAGACATCAAAAACAAAGGTATGTTCTTTAAACATTGTTCCTAAGCCAATGACTTGTAGCTAATACGTCAAAGTAAGGGGAGGGAAAAACAAACAAACTACTCATCCATTGACAGGTGACAGACCTAGAAACACAAAGGTGCATTCTTTAAATATTATCCACAAGCCTTGTAGCTAATATGTCAAAGTGAAAAAAATGCATGTATTAATTACGTGGTTCAACAGAGATGAGATGATTTCACATCCATGGTGCTCTATGAGTAAAACAAGAGAAGGGTAGTAAAACCTATCCCACACAAGCACATCCCGAGTCCTAAGGAAAGAGGAAAGCAATACAAAATGCCATTGTATTACAGTGATAAATGTAAAGTGAAGAGATTATCATTTAATCCATGCACATGAAAAAGTTCAGAATTAGTTATCAAGAATATACAAACACCGCAATGCAAGGTGAGACTGACAGGCAAAATCTACAGTCACCAAGACCTGCTAAGTATCCTAATATGCAATCTTAAGTCTTGACCTTATCTTAAGTATTCTCTCATTTCATTAATGATCATGAAAAACCTATATGCAAGCAGTTCCTCTTCTTGTCCAAAGACGAGCAATCTTAGTATGCAATCTTCAATTATTGTGACAAAATATTAATTGTCTATTTTCCTTCACTATGGTACAAACTTAATGAGAATGATAGGTACTTACAAGAGGAGCATATGCAATGTAAAGTCGAGAAGAGTAGCGACCAGTCACGATGCACAAAAGCACATGCATTGGAATAAGATTAATAATAAAGGTGTACCCTCCCCATGAGCAGACCTGAAAGACAAAGCAATATAACAGTGAACATAAATATCATAAGGAATAATAAGATGCCAGGAAATATTATCACAAAGCCTTACCATATAAAAGTATGCCAAGGCATTTAAAGTGGCATAAAAGAGAGATCCTGTATTCAATGTCTGCACATGATATAAAATCTATATCAGCAATTAATAAAATGTGAAAAATAAAATACAACAGAACCAACAACCTATCTGTAGGAAACAAGTTAATTAAGTAAAACTATTAATCAGTGCACTAGATCTGATTACTCCTCAAATTAACAGTTTTGATAAGAATTTGCAGAATTTTGTTTTCTCTAACTGACGTCAGAGCTCTAACCTTTATATAAAGATAGAAAGTGAAGATCAGAGCAAATATAGCTACAGCTTCATTGTCATAGCTACCAGCCACGGATCGAGATATATATGACGGAACCTGTAAACAAGAACAAATAATCTAGCAGTTAAGATTTTGAGTTCGACATGTTTATACATGCTGAAGGAGTACAACTTACTAAAGAAGTCTTGTAAAGAGAATATCTCATACAGAAGGCCACCCCAACTATATGGACTTCGAAGAACATGTTAAAGTTTGAACATTTTTCTTTGGGGTAATGGTCCAGTTTATCCTTATATAATGGGGTCCGTATCCAGTTCGTCCTTATATCCTAAAATGAGCCAATTAGGTTTCTGCATTTTAAGTGAGTTTCCAATACGTCCTTTTGGTGAATTATTCCAGCCAAACCACCGGAAAAGGTCACATGACTTGCACATGACTTCTTCTTCTTTTTTTTTTTTTTTTTTTGAAATGCCCCTCAACTGAACATGTGCAAGTTAAATGACTTTTGTGGGGTATTTTCAGAAAAAAAAAAATAGTAATGTGCAAGTCATGTGACTTTTCGGTGGTTTGACCGGAAAAATTCACTAGGACATATTGGGAACTCACTTAAAACACAAGGACATAATTGGCACATTTTAGGGTATACGAATAGATAGGATAGGGACATAATTGGTTCATTTTAGGATATATGAATAGATAGGATAGGGACATAATTGACTCATTTTTGGATATACAGATAGAATGGATTGGGAACTCACTTAAAACACAAGGACATAATTGGCTTATTTTAGGATATAAGGATAGATTGGACACTAATCCAATTATATAAGAACAAACCTGGCCATTTCCCTTTTTTTCTTTCAAATTTATCAAACATTGTATCCTCTAAGAAAAAAATAACGTCTTTTTACAATAACAACCTTCATTAATTAACTGATCAGAATACTAACAACATAGCAAAAAAAAAAAAAAAAAAAAAGAGGCAAATGTGAACCAGTAATACCAATCGGAAGACATACAGGATATTAGAAACTAGGTGTGACAGTTCTTATGATATTGTCAGGAACCTGTATCAACAAGTAGTGCCTTGTTGTTGCCGTTCAAAAAAAAAAAATACAATTAAAAGGAAACATGTAAAGTTATGAGTACCCGTTATATAATTTACCATGGCCAAAAGAACAGCTGCTGTCAGTCCAGCACCAGTACCCTTAACTTCCTATTAAAAAAAGAAAAAAAATGAATGTCATCAACAAAACCAACTACAATCTACCTAAGGAGAGACATGAATTAGGTCATAATACAAACCTTGGTCAAAAGGTAAGTCGCCCATGAAGCAAACGCAGAGAAAATTGGTGCAGTGAATACACAAACAGTCTCGACAGACAAAGGAATGTTCAAAGAATTCAATAACCTGGCACCAGATAGTAACGACTCAAAAAATTAGACAAAGTAGAACTCAGTAATAAATGCCATTTCAAATGTTAATAATTCAAGGAAACTGCGTTCAGCAACAAGCACAGAAAACTAACTCTGCAAATTATGCCAGATGCTAATGAATACATTTCTTATCATTGCCTAAAAGGTACTCACCACCATAATGTGCCTGCTGTCAAGGTCAACCCAGGGTAAACAGTTCCACCAATAACACGACCAAGAGGATACCTTAAGTCAAATATACAAAAACAATCAATTTAAGTTCCCATACAAAAAAAACATAGCACAAAGAACAACTAACCAACAACTTTCCGCCATAAAAATTATCTGTGCTTACCAGGTTCGATCATCAAACCAATTCCAAAAGTCATAAATCCCATTCTTTGTCAAAAACTGAAACCAACAACAACCAAAATCTCTCATTCTCGGTACATTTCTGTATAAAAAGAAAGAACATTAAGCATTATACAGAAATATCTGTGAAGGAAATCAAACCTGAGTGACTCTGTAATTGAAATAAGGATCGAACTCGTGAATAACACTCTCATACTTTATTACCTGAAAATCAATCCACAAGTTTATAAAAAAGCAACAACTAACAAAACACACGAATCAACTCTAATTCGAATAACAGCAGAGCTTAAAAAAACTAAAAAGGAAAAGCTCAAATCATACAATCCCAAATATTACCTGGCTAAACGAAGTCAACCTTCTCACTATAGTTTCAGAAAAAAAAATAAACAAAATTCTTTTAAGGAAAGGAAAACCTCATATCTTTTCCTTTGATTTCCATCTACTTTCTCAACAACCAAACAGAAAAGAAAGCGAATTTGCAGCCATTCAAAACAATTCCAATAAAAAATTAAAAGTTTAATTTAATTTAATTTTCCTCCATTTACTCATCAACCAAACGGCTAAAACACAAAACAAAAATGGCAATCATAAAGATCGGATCTAGAGAGAGGCTAGAGGAGCGAACTGACAGAGAAAAGGCGGATCGAGAAGGCGAGAACTCCAATCAAGAGAAGGATGAAGAAAGAGAGCACATTGCCAAAAGCGTTACGCAGTGTTCCTGCTGACGTCTCTCTCGAGCTCTCCGCGCTCGCCATTGATAATATTTGTGTACCTTTGTAACGGAGGGTTTTTTGGTTTTGTAGGTCGTCTAGCAGAAACAGAAGACGACTTGGGAGAAAAGGGAGTGAGGAAAGACTCGAGTGACTGAGCCGGCTGATTTGCGCGAACTACCAAACGGTCCCTTTTCCAAACTATAAAATTACAAATACAGGTCTAACGTCTCTATTCAATTGCCTTTTTTGTCCCTGTTATATATACCTGGTAAGATCTTATTGGTTACTCATTCTGATTGGTTAGGAGCTACGTGGTCTACCACGTGGCTCTTATTGATTAGCCATATTTTACAATCCGATTCCTCACAGATCCTGGAGCACCGACCCGAGTTAATGCTTAGAAGCCCATTAAAATGACCCATTTGATTTCTGACGTATCTCTCTCAGACTTGGATTAAAAGATCGTGTTTCTATCCCAGCTGCCCCTGTCTCTCTCTCTCTCAAATTGCAGAAACTTGGTTCTTGAATCCCTAAATTCTCTTATCTTTTTTGGTTGAAATTTTTCTTCTACAAAAGCTTCAGCAGAGTCTTATCCGAGTAAGTAGGCTGATGTTTCTTCTTATTTTTCTCTATTTAGATTATCAAGAATCTGTTTTAATTTGATGAAGTTTACTTTCTTTATTTTTTCTGTGATGGTAATTAGTTCTTAATGCATCGATGGACTGATTGATTTCTTTTTTTTTTTTTTAATGGACGATTTAGGGTTAGGGTTTTATCTTCGGCTCCTTGTATTATAGGACGCTGCAATCATCATGGCGGCTTTAAAGGAATTACTGCCTCCGGTGAAATCAACTACCACAACTTATTATGATCATTCCAATGATCCGTGGTTCAAGCAGAGGTTTAGTTCATCCGAGGTGGAACAATCTGCTGCTGCTGCTGCAATTAAGCATAACCCCGTGCCTCCTTACTTGCAGCGTAAGGGTTTTGTTCCCCGGAAAGTTGAGGATTTCGGTGATGGGGGTGCTTTTCCAGAGATTCATGTTGCCCAATACCCGCTGGATATGGGTAGGAATAAGTCTGCAAAACCTGGGTCGAAGATTTTGGCTTTGACTGTTGATGCTCATGGAAATGTTGCTTATGATGCGATTGTCAAGCAGAATGAGAATGCCAAGAAGATTGTGTATTCGCAGCATAAGGATTTGATTCCGAAGTTGTTGAAGAGTGAGGAAGAGGGAGATGAGGATGAGGATGAGGAATTGCAGAAAGAGATTGAGGAGACTACGCTGGAAACAAAAACTGCGCTTGAAAAGATTGTTAATGTCAGGTTGAGTGCAGCGCAGCCAAAGAATGTTCCCAAACAGTCTTCGGATTCGAAGTATATCAAGTATAAGCCTTCACAGCAGTCGGCAGCTTTTAACTCGGGTGCCAAAGAGAGGATTATTAGAATGGTGGAGATGCCAGTGGACCCACTTGAGCCACCTAAGTTCAAGCATAAGAGGGTTCCCAAGGCTTCGGGATCACCACCTGTGCCAGTTATGCACTCACCACCTCGGCCTGTGACTGTTAAAGATCAGCAGGATTGGAAAATCCCACCTTGTATCTCAAATTGGAAGAATCCTAAGGGTTACACAATTCCTCTTGATAAGCGTCTGGCTGCTGATGGAAGAGGTTTGCAGGATGTTCAGATAAATGATAATTTTGCTAAGCTATCAGAGGCCCTTTATGTTGCTGAGCAAAAGGCTAGAGAAGCCGTTGCTATGAGATCCAAGGTTCAAAAGGAGATGATGATGAAGGAGAAGGAAAGGAAAGAGCAGGAGTTGCGGGCATTAGCACATAAAGCCCGTTCTGAGAGAACTGGTGCAGCTCCCCCACCTTCTGCTCCAGTTCCATCAGAGAGGGGTGCAATGGATGATGTTGACATGAGAGGGGATTATGAGCATGTGAAGGAAAGGGAGAGGGATGCCCCAAGGGAGACAAGGGAAGAAAGGGAAGAGAGGCTGCGGCGTGAGAAAATTCGTGAGGAGCGTCGTCGAGAAAGGGAGAGAGAAAGAAGATTGGAAGCAAAAGATGCTGCAATGGGTAAGAAGAGCAAGATCACAAGAGATAGAGATCGTGATGTGAGTGAGAAGGTTGCTCTTGGTATGGCCTCGACTGGTGCTGGAAGAGGGGGAGAAGTTGCATATGATCAAAGGTTGTTCAACCAAGAGAAAGGAATGGATTCTGGTTTTGCCACTGATGATCAATACAACGTGTATGACAAAGGCCTTTTTACAGCTCAGCCCACACTTTCAACTCTGTACCGGCCAAAGAAAGATGTTGATGCTGATATGTATGGAGGTGCAGATGAGCAATTAGATAAGATTATGAAGACCGAACGATTCAAACCTGACAAGGAATTTGGTGGTACTTCACAGAGGACTGGTCCACGTGACAGGCCAGTTGAGTTTGAGAAGGATGAAGAAGAAGCTGATCCATTTGGCTTGGATCAGTTCTTGACTGAAGTGAAGAAGGGTAAGAAAGCCATGGAGAAAGTTGGTTCTGGTGGCACAATGAGAGCTAGTGGAGGATCTTCAACACGAGATGGCCATGATGGGGGATCTGGTAGAACTCGTATTGGATTCGAGAGGGGGCGTTAGTTATCCTGCTTTAAAGCTTTATTTTATGGTGACTTGTGTTGTGTGAACACATAGCTTGTTCCCCTTTTTTAATTTTTCCTTTGTTTTTGGATGCTGTGATATTTTTACTTAAGCTTGTTTCTGGTTGATGCTAAACTCTAAACCAGTGAAGACCCCTGTACGTTGTTTAAAATTTCTCTAGAAGTTGAAATAATTTAATCCCCTGACGCCTGTGCTCGTAGTTGGTTCATAAGTGCTTTTTATTTGTTTGCTGTGTTCTTTTTGGGCTCCATGTTGTGGTTATGTAATCAAAGTGCCATGTCCATTAGTTTTCTTTATACTTGGTCCTGTGGTTTCATTTTGGAAGAAACAACTATTAGCATGAAGCTCCAGGATTATTTGACAGGGTGAAGCCAAAATGTGCACCTACCTCTCCAAAACTACTTGATATTCTTATGACTATGGTTTATAACATCTTCCTGGATGGAAACATTGTTGGTCTAGTTTCATACTGGTTGGCTGTTAGCTCTACGTTGTAAAATCATATTAAAAAAAATAATTTTTGTTTTTAATTTGATAGCATGCAATATGTTATAGGCCTATTCAAAATATATTGTGTTAAAAGTAAAAAGAAAAAATTATCTAATTTTATTTTTTTATTTTTTGGTGGAAACAATGATGGTATTCTGATAATTTAATAAATTATAAAAAGAAATACAAGAGAGAGACAATCAAGCCTAACCCAAACATAATGGGAGGACAAAGTAAGCCTTACCTCTAAAAGTACGATTACATTCTGTCATTGTATAACCTCATTTTATCTTGTCTACTAGCCACTTTAATAGCAAGTGACGACTAAGAATAAACTCTATAAATACTCAGTTCTTTTGCTGAAAAGCCTTATTAGCCAACATATCCGACATCATGTTTTGTTTCCTCCAAATATGCATAACGTGATGATTGTCCATTATTTACTGACATTCATGAAATGAATATGTGTATACACAAGGGAGTTTATTTATGCCTAAAACTATATTAACCATCAGCATAGAATCTGATTCAATGATAACTGAATCCAAATCTAAATTCTTACACAGAAGTAATCCATCCCGAAAAGCTAATATTTCAACCTTAGAGTTCATATCCTCTCCATAAAAATTAGCAAAACCTGCAATAAACACTCCTGCCTCATCCCACAAAATACCTCTCCTTGCTCAGAAGCCTTCACTTGTCGACCCATCCACATTCAATTTTAACTTACCTGTTGAGGGCAACTCCCACTTAAGCCATTTTCCTCTCCTGAATTTTGACTAAGCTATAACTAGACCAAGCTCATGCACCTTCCTTATGCTAGAAATATTCATATGCTTTTTGAGAGAATATAAAATACACATATCCTGTAAGTCAATTTTAACTCTCCGAATAATGTTAGTCGGATTCTTCAGCTCATCCTCATATTTAGCCCTACATATGTTTTTCCATAATTCCCATAAAACAAAACAGAAAGTAAATACTTGGTACATACCTAACTACATATCTAATTTTATAATTTATTCATTCTTATTTTTTCATAAATTTTATAGTTAAAAAATATAATTTTTTATTTTTTATGTATTAATTTTTAAATAAAACCTTGTAATGATCTAAATAGGATATTTAATCTAATTTTTTAAAAAATGCCTTCATATTTTTTTTCATAAACTTGCATTCAAAAAATAAAAAAATTAATATAAAGTTATATACTCGGTAGATTTAGAGTGTATAGTATAAATAAATTTAAAAAATAAATAAATTGTAAGGAATATATTAAAGTCGATACACTAATATATATATATACACACTCAATGGATTTAGAGTGTATAGTATAAATAAAAAATATTAAAAAAATAAACAAATTGTAAAGAATATATTAAAGTTAATATACAAAAATAAAAAAGAATTACAAAATTAATTTTGATAAATTTTAATTATATAAAAAAGAAGCAAATAGCCAAATAAAACACATAAATTCTATTTTTTTAATTGATTTTTTTTAAAAAAAAAGTTTGAAACAAATTATCCGAATTGCTCTTATTTAAAAAAATCATAAGAATCTATCATATGAATTATATCAATATATTTAGAAAAAGATAAAATAGTAATATTCTAAAATTTTATTCAAATATATATATATATATATATATATATATATATATATATTTCAAATTTTGTTAGGTTCCAATTTACATATTTTAATTATTTTATAATTTAAAACTACCACAAACACGTTCTTTTCATCAAAATAAACAATATAAATATAAGATTGCCTGCAAAAGAGGCCAAAATTGGATCCCATCATCGCTTTCTCTCTCCTTTCTTTGTATTTAGTGATCAAATTGTAAAACAAATAATTAAAATATCAGAATAATTTAAAAATATATATATATTAAGGACCAAAGTGAAATATAAAGAAACCCCAAAAATAAATACTTTAAGACAATCTAAAAAATCACCAAAATGTTATTGCATAGTGTAGATGAATAATGTTATTAATAGTAAATACTTCAAATTTTTTTTTTTAATTTGAAATTCTGAACAGCATAATTATTGAAACAACGTTTTATGTGATGTTCTATTCATATGCTTCTCTCTGCTGCATTTGGGTTTGCCATATACCAAGACGGAAAAGAATTAACCATCTTTTTAAGTAGGCTTTGCATATGGATCCTTTGGACCTTTACCTTGTCGCTGAATATGGGATTTTCACTGTTGGTAGATTTTAATGCCAAGTAGGGGCCGACCCAGGTAAAACCCTACAGGACCCCCCCCCCCCCCCCAACTTTTTTTTTTTTTTTTTTCTTTCCTCTCATGAAACATCCCATGTCATGCTACACTCTTTTATCATTTTTTTTTTAATTGTCACAATTCTACTTTTAATATGATACTATAATAATTCATATTTTAATTGATTTTTTTTTTTCAGAATGCTTCAATCGGAATTTTAATTAACCTACTCGATAAATGAGTGTATTTTTACACAAAATAATTATTTTGAGGGCTTAAATATATGTAAAATTACACTTATTTCTAGAAAAAATATTCTCCATGCACAAAAAAATTCACCTAAGCTCATACAATATTCTTACACCTCCTTAATGATTTTCTATACCCATTGGATAATTTTTAAACATATTTAAAATAGTCAAAATAATTAATTTGCACAAAAAAAACACTATTCATGCATCGAAAATATTCACTGAACATCAGAAAATTCATTCAATGGCACAAAATAATCTAACACCCTCAAGAAAATATTCTATGCAAATATAACATTTTTCATGTATATTTAAAATACTCAAAATATTTATTTTGCATAAAACGTTACTATTCATGCATCAAAAAACATATAAAATATTCATTCATCACAAAAAAAATTATTTAGAGAGATGCGCATATCATTTAGGATTGATATCATTTGTAAGTTGGTGTAGAAATTTTATCCTCAAGATTTTATCGATCATGAAATGCCGCAATTCGAGCATTTTGATCATCTATGAAATCTTTTTTATTTTAAAACATTATCGAGCTGTATTTGATTTTGTGTCAATGGTTGATGAAGGCAAGAAAATTTGAAAGTTATCCACTTGTGTATAGAGCGACAACATTTATTCTTATTGTTTAATTTCTACCGAGCGGTCATTTTCGACTATAAGCATAGTCAAGATTAAATTTCATAACAAAATGAAAGATAACATTCTTTTCAATTCTATGTTAGAATATATTGAAAAAGAAATTATTAAAAATTTTAATATAGATTTGCTTATAAATGATTCTCGTGATCCGAAAGAACAAAGATTTCTATTTTAAGTGATTGTATTTTAAAACTATTTTAAAATATATATCGATATGTTATTAATTTATAATATAAATAAGTTTGTGTAAACCATTATAAATTTATAAATATTTATTTTAGTCTATGTGAACATTTGGTCTGCATCCACCACTTATGCCAACGTCGGGTTCAAGTTGAAAATTGCTCTCCGTATTTGAGCAGTGATTTTTACTTCATTGTGTATTAGCACTTTTTTTTTCTTCTTGAAGTTAGAGGCTTGATGTGCTGCTGGAGAGGCCGCTGCCGTTTCTTGTAAAGCAGCTGGTGAATCATGCACTGTATCCCATGTGCACTGTGGATCCTAATATAGCTGCTGCTCCTCAAAATTTTGCCTTGGAAACCGACACCCATGAAATGTCATGTTTTGGCTCCTCCATTGAACTCACTGCAAAGGAACTTGAGAGAAGATGTCGCAGCAAATTCTCTCTGTGCCACTAAATTAGGAGACCTCCTACTCGGAATTTCAAATGGCAACCATCCAAGTTTGTGGCTTTATTGTTACTGTTTAATGCAGAGAACCTACAGATCCTCAGGATAGCTGATTCTTCATTTGACTTTTCCAATTCAATAAACTACCATATCTGATTTCCTTGAACAGCAGTCATTTTGTTATCCTGCTGTATTTCCATCTTTCCTGTTTAAAGTTTGTTCCCAAACATAAAGGCTTTTTTTTTTTTTTTTATCCTGACGATAGCAAGTCCTCCGCTTAGTAACCCAAATTTAACAGAATGAGTAGTAATATCCGTTACTGGTTTTTGATGTTATAATACTGTTTTAGCATTATAACATAAGTATCTGCGATTTACATATATAACTGCCGTTTTACTAATATTAACGACCATTATACCCATTTTTTTAAAGAAAGAATAGCATCTTTATTTTCCATTGATTTTCAGATTTGTGTTTTAATCTTCTGTCAAAGAAACAACTGGGATGGAGAATCGGTTCCAACAAAAAAAAACAGAGAGAGAGAGAGAGAGAGAGAGAGAGATAAAAAAGAAGAACGTGTACAATGAAGGAGAAGATGCTAGAGAAGGAGACGACAGAAGGAAGTTCCAGGTTTAGACAGATGATGAGCCTTTGACTTAAGAGAGTAATATTTAGCGCTAATTTTGTGTATTTGAATTCGTATTTTCAAATGATAAATAAACCTACTATACAATTTTTATTGGCCCTGCTTATATATATATATATATATATAACTAAAAAAAGCTATTATTATATTTATTTAACAAAACTATCAAATTAACATGTATTATGAAAATTTATCATATATTACTAAATAATTAACAACAACCGCAGTTACATTTTAACAGTTAAAACTCATATCCATTATCACAATTCATTCCCGTTATTATAACTACAATCATTATTTAAAATTATGCTCAACATCTCTGAACTCCTATCACTCTCCAAGAAAGTAGAATGCTATTAATAACGAGAGGAGTGCCATAACGTTTCCCCTTGCAATTACTATTGCAAGATGTTTTAATCTTCAACGTATCTCATTACAAAGGGTGATCTTGGATGGGAATTTAAGCGCCAATTTTCAGAAAACAATTTCCCCTGCTATAACATTGTCTTGCAATAAAACAAATAATGCCAAGAAGGGCATATGATAACATTCTGTTCCCTAAAATTCCCACCAAACAATTTAAAGGCAATGTACATGCTTAAGCAGACAATTAAGTTCATAACAGCGTACAGCAGGGGCAACAATTCCCAAAATGAAGAAGCTTCCACAACCCATCACATAATGAGATACGTTGTTCATGAAGAAGGGTTCTTCCTACACTCCCCCGAAATAGCCAAAACTTCGACGATGCCTAAGACTAACAGAAGATTAAATAGGAAGCAACAGTAGATTGAGGTTCACACTTGAAAAGTGATGTTATAGAAGAGAGAACTAAAAAACTTACTTAAAGAACTATGGAGATAAATGGAAAAAGAAAAGGTAAATGAGATATTCTGAAAAATCAAAACAAACAAACAAAATACAAGTCCTGTGAAATTTTCTGGCATGTGAGATTACGTGAAACCAGAATAATGCCTAAATTTGCATCCACAGTGTCTTGCAGAAGCAGTTATCTCCCATGAAACAAAAATTTGTAGCATAATTGCACCTGCAATCCAGATTCGTGAGAACATATTAAAAGCAAGGCTCAATGAATGCAGCTAAAAATTGAAGTGCTGTGTGATTTAGAAGTATTGTCCAATGATTTGACCTTATAGATAGAGCTCTCCGGACAAGAAAAACTCAGGACTGAGCTAACTTCTAAGAAAACACACTGCAGTCAATTTGCTGAATATTCGGAAAAAACTGTCTCAAAAAGGCTGAGTAGTTTGTAGACTTTGCCTGCAATATAAGAAGCAAAACTATGCGTGAAAAGGCTCCACGATAACAAAGGAAACAGCAAGGGGGAAAAAACAAAGAAATAACCAAGGGAAACCAAAGAGAAACGGTGGTTTTCCCTCCTTTTCAAGTAAGCAAACAGCCCCGGTCCAAAAAAGGCAATCCAAACAATTTTTTGGCATGTCGAAGCAAAGACTATATGATATTTAACATCAATCATGATATGCACAAGAACTGTCAATTTGCAAGCAAACTTTTTATCACAGTTTCTTGAAATTAATATCTTGTATGAGAAACGAGTGCAGACAAATCAAGAAAAAACAATAAAATCATTTGTCATGCTTTTCAGGCCCTAGAGGTTCAACAGACGTCCAAATAGAGTAGCAGTTATGTGCAAGTAGAGAAGAAGAGTATTACTTTATTATTAAATGCAGTTCATGCCGATTATTCATGGTCCTATCTGTAAAGATGCAAGGGTATTCCATTTCGGTATTATCTTTTTTCTATTTTTATTGTTCCGGAGCTTCTAACACAAAAAAATTCATGTATACAACTGGCTCAAGAAACATGATTACAGCACCTCATTGGTCTTAAAGATCTTTCTAAGAAATAAATTCAAAAATAAGAAAGATAAACTTCAGATGATACATAGATATAATTGGGAAAACACTACTTATGGATAAAACTTGAATAGGATCATAGAATGGTGACAAATAACTGCTAAAGAATTATCAACATTTTTGCTCCTGAAATATGTCAATAGTCGTGGAACAATATGATCGCCATGCTGACATCGAAAACTCACCTGAAAGCTTAAAAAAACAGATCTATTACTAATGATCAACCAGATAACAAGAATCCATATGATCGGCATGCTAGTACATATCGGTGAAAAAGGTATAAACTTTACAATTGGGAAAACACTACTTATGGATAAAACATGAATAGGATCATAGAATGGTGACAAATAACTGCTAAAGAATTATCAACATTTTTGCTCCTGAAATATGTCAATAGTCATGGAATAATATGATCGACATGCTGACATCAAAAACTCACCTGAAAGGCTTAAAAAAACAGATCTATTACCAATGATCAACCAGATAACAAGAATCCATATGATCAACATGACAACATGCTAGTACATATCAGTGAAAAAGGTATAAACTTTCCATAAAAAATATCCAGGGCAAGAGATGCACAACTTTACTAAAAAATTTAATCTTGTGAGTTCCTCTATCTTGAAAAGGACAAGCTTTTCTTGCAGAAACTATTCAGAAAACTTGTGGAGAAAAAGTCAAGGATCTAGAAAATAAACATCAAATAGTGGATAAAAGTGTTAGACATCTAACAACATGCTATTAAGGTGGGAAATCTAGCTGATCCAAGAAAAGATGAAAGTGCGAACGAAGAACCACTAATACAAAGCTCAGAATGAGGGGGCAAATCTATGACTCTGGTTATAAATTTGAGAGCAAGAAAGGTCAGGATCTAATGCTTTCCCTATTTAACTACGATTATCAGTAAAACTACAAAAAAGCAAGAGCAACACATAAAACCATCAAAAATGTTTTCCAATAAGCTATAGCTTAGCATGCAGACAGTAACAGAGCCCTGAAAACATTAGGTTCCCAAAGTTAAAGAATATCTTACACATGGATTATTTTCAAGGTAGATTGTGGTTAGTTTCTCTCTTGAACCGACGACAGCCTCAGCAATGCCTTCAAGCGATTCTATTTGGTTGTCATTGAGCCACAGATCCTCTAACCTGTAAGTATGGTGTGAGTCAAGCCATGAAATCAACCAGATAAGAGACAACAAAATACCAAGAGTGAGGAAGATTGCACATACTGGGTGAGGTTCTGAATGCCATCCACTGAAGTTAACTTGTTAGATGATACATCAAGTACATGGAGGTTGACCAAGGTTGACAATCCCTCCATTTTGGCAATACCATTATGGCTCAAGTACAGTTCTTCTAAAGCAACACATTCCTAGAATTAAGACAAATGAATAAATAAATAAAAAGGGGAACCACATTTAGACAGCAGTTTCAATATGACAGAACATGAGTTTTTTTTTTTTTTTGTTTTCACAATAGAGCAGAATGCCATAGGTTTGTCTCAGTAACAAAAATGCAATTTCTTTTAAGTACCTCAAATCCTGTCATAGAAGTTAATCGATTGCTTTGCAAGCTAAGCTTCTTGATGCATTTCAACCCACAGAGATTGACTACTTTGATCCGATTTCTTCCCAGCCATAGCTCCTGTAAATTCATAAAATTTTCCATATTCTCCATCACCTGTAAACGACCAAAGTAAGTAGTTAAAAGATTCAGACAATGCTCCAAAAACTCCTAAAAATATAATATCCACCATCTTCCAATTTAGTCTCTAAAAGTTTTACTTTCTCATCGATGCATTTGCAATTTCTGTTTTTGTATATCATAAACCCACCAAATCTTAATTCTGGATAAAGAAGATTCTTCAAAAGATAAAGAATACTAACCCGTAATCTGTTAGAACCAAGTTCGAGAATTTGCAACTGATAAAGGTGATCAATCTCCTCCATCTTAGTAACTTCATTTTTAGATACATAAAGCTCCTTGAGAGTATTACAGGCTTTAGACAATCCATGCAATGAAGTAATTTCATTGAAAGAAACATCAAAAACCAAAAGACTCTTGAATATGCCGACATCCGGTATTTTCTTTAACTTATTATCTCTTAACACCAGCTCCTGCAAACACATGATAATTACAAGATGGGGCATTCCTTAGTTCCGTTAATGATTAAAATATTATTAATCAGTCCTAAAAACATAATAATCACTCAGTTATCTTGAATTAAAAGTAGTAAAAATAAACTGAATTAAAAAAATTTATTTTATAATAACAGTGATTAGATTAGTGATCAGAGAACAAAAAGAAAATAAATAAAACTGAAATTGAGTTACCTGGAGACCGGATATTGAATCCCAGCTAGAGAAAGGGTCAATAGCAGCATCGTCGATGAGGTTTTGACGGAAAGAGAGCTTTTTCAGGTTCGAGAGATGCGCGATTCTATGGTCCAAGCTCGATAACCGATTTGAGGTCAGGTCTAACTCGGTGAGACTCGGAGATAACTCCACTGAGTTGAGATCATGAAGCTGAAAGCTGGTTAGGTCAAGGACGGTGCTTGATGGATCAATTTCGACCGTTTGATCGTCTGCCTCCGGGTTTGAGCCCCGCGGTGGTTGCGTCTCGCCGTCCATTTACAATGCTTTCGGTTGGAGTGTCGAAAAGAATCAACTTTGTTTTGTTTCAGTTCAATTTCGCGGAGGAATTCTTCGTGGACCTGGGCTTTTACATTATTTGGTCTCAAGAAACAGCCTCCATCTCCATGTATATTCTTCTGTGTTGGCGGAAGGGAGGAGATAATTAAATTTAGTACTTATAGTTTATCAAAATAAATTAAGTAGTCCTTGTAGTATAAAAATAATAATATACTTTTTTAACTATCTTAACCATAGTTAATTGAGTAGTCCCAAAGTGAATCCACAATAAATAAATAAAATAATAGTTCGGAGGCAAAATTTATATAAAAAACAAAATCCAAAGTATAATAGCAAAACGTACCATTCACTGATTTTTGATCGGGTAGTTTTCAAAAAAAAAAAATACATATATATATATATGTTTTTTTATTTTTTTATCCCTCGAGTTTAAATTTTTTTTCATATTTTCTTGAGAGTTGCTCAAAAGTTTCATTGTATAACAACCGCTATTGGTGGGCCTAGTTAAGCATTTTTATTATTATTAATGAAAGTTTTTCATTTTTTTAAAAGACATTTTCTAACCTGACAAACATGGAGCTTAAGGAAAAAAAATACTCTTTCTCTAAAAACCAACCTCACACATGTGGCAAATATGACAAAGTTACTTCATAAATGTGAATTTATCGAATTGCTACAAATAAATGAGTGTTTCTATGAGTTTTTTTAAAACGTTAATTACAGAAAAATGAAGTTCAGGCAATTGTTTATCTAACAATATCTCCAACAGTTTTGTAATTTTTACAAGGTTTTATCAAACATTCATTAAGGTTGAATGAAACCTTAACATATACTTCACGAAATCAGACCCCAATTCTTGTCTTCCAACAGCTTTTGTTGAATTTTCATCAAAAGAATGTTTTTATTTTTTTAATACTAAGAGCTACATTTTTAAAACTTTTCAAGTAAACATGTCTTCCATCCTAGAGTTGATAAAGTTTGAAGGGATAACCTAGATATTTCACAATTTATCAATCACATTCTTTTATATAAAAAAAAAAAAAAATCAATCAATTGTAACCTTTAGTTGTTCATATTCTATAATATACCCATTTGTCAACTATTTTCATATAAATTCATGATCATGTGTGCAAAACGTGATAGTTTCAGTATGAATTTAAGATAATACTCATTTAAGTCAATAGAAAATGCTGATTTAAGGAAGAAAAAAATAATGTTCATGCGCGTTGCACATAATAGTTTCAACATATAACCAAGTTTGCTCGGATTCGAAATCCCACACCAACAATTTTTTTTTTTTTGTGTGTGTTTTATTACCGTGAAGGATATTCTTATCAATTCAGATTAAAATCACTTGTGTTGCACATATGATCGTCTATTTTAATGAAATTAATTTAATAAAAAAGTATATTAAAGAATAAGAATAAATTAAATATTGCAATTGATTCATTTTTTTATAAAATAGTATAATTGGTAAATAGTGTAGTATATAAGCACATATTGAATGGTTTCCCTAAATTTAAATAAAATATAAACAAATAAATGAACTTTTAAGGGCATAATATGGAACAAAAGTTTTCACTTATTTCAATTACAATGCGATCCAATTTAGTATAAAAATAGATATATAGAAGGGCTAATATACTTTATAACATGATAATAATAAATTAATCATTCATGTCATTTTTATCTTCATGTATTGAAAAAATATCTATTCAACTACATAAATTATTGTTGCCGTCGGCAACAAACATGTATGACCCATTTCATATATATATAAAGTGCGTGTATTGGCACAAAGGGGAGACACGGGCGAGAAAACATCAAACATGATTTGCGAGTAAATTCAACATGCTCGTATGTGTTTTTAACAAAATAAAAGACACGAGTAGAAAGATTAAACATAGTTTGAGCAATAAATTAGATGCGTCCGTGTCTTGCAATAAGATTCTAATCCTAGGAAGAAAGAAAAGCCACACGGGCATAAACAATGACAAGACTTGAAAGCAAAAGTGACACGAGTATGTGTCACCATAAAATTATTCAAAGAAGAAAGATATGCCATATAGGCGGTAGTTAAGAGACAACTGTTTAAGGAAACAAATTGACACGACCATGTGTCAATTTAAGCAAGCCACGTAAGGGATTTTCGCGTGATAAAATCCTACTTCTCATATGTAATATAAGACTATAAACATAGAACCCAAAACACGGACTAACAGATTGATTTATGTGATTCAAGATAAAAACATGGATTAGAATAGAACCTATGCTCTACGGTTATTCTAGACTCTATAGCCTATGCTCGATACCAACACTTATCATGACCTCGGGAGTGGGCCATGACCAACATGAGAATCGAGGAGACGAGTGAGGTCCACCCCGATCTAAGTAAGCCACGAATACTAAACTAAAATCCTCAAATCATTATCGGACTTATGTTATAGTCCTCAAATCAATATCACTTCACATATCGTTTCATTTAACATTAGCCCAACTAATGAACATTTCTCACAATCTTAGTATAATTCATAATTCAATGCTATTTTTATTTCAATATCCAAAATTAATATTCATAATTAATCTCTAAAAAAACACTCATAGCTGTAACTACGAGCTTTTAAAAGTACAACAACTCAAACATAGGTTCTAAAAAGCTTTACAAGGAAATAAGTCGCACGATCAATGTGTCGACTTCAAGCAAGCAAGCCAAAAGAAGCAATAAGTAATCTCTCAATATCCTACAAAATTGAAATAATAAGGAGTGAGCAATCAATAGCTTAGTGGATAGACATTATATAACACATTCAAAGGAAGGGAAACAGAATAAGGATGATACTTTCAAATCCATCTCAAAATGCAATGCTAATTTCTTCAAAACACATGCATATCATAAACATATATCTTAATCCATAATTTAAATGGTTTTAAAACCATTTCGCATCAAATCATCAAAGCGCTTATATATATATATATATATATCGTATTCATACGAAATCTCATAGATAGTTTTTTATATCCGTAGCGTAAATAACGTATTATTGGGTGTAAACACCCAAAGGTCACGCCCCGTGATTAGATTTTTGTATGTTAATCAGCACGAGGGCTAGCACCATACCCCTCCCGCTAGCCGAAGCCTCGTATCATTGAGATCAAAGGCTATGTCCCCCGTAGCTAGGTTCCCTAGGGCCTGAGGTCTCGAACATATTTTCAAAAACTAAACATACTTATAGATTTTTCAACCAGTATTTTAAATGTCATGCATATATTTTCAAAAATTATACGGATAATCAAAATAACAATTATAACACATTCATTCAAACACACATTCAAATATATTTTCAATTCACATCCAATTATTTTGATACAAAAACATTTTAAATATTATGAAATCCATTCCCATCTAAGTTCTACTAGAATGCTCTTAAATCATTCTTATATTAATAATGTATGATGAATACAATCAAGAAAATGTAAAACACAAAATGTTATATAATATCCACTCACAAGTACAAATGATGGATCAAATAAATTTGAACAAATCAAGAATATTAAGATGGAATCGCCGGCTCCGAAGAATCTAACATCACAAAATGATGAAACATCCATTAATGCTTACATCAAGGAATAACTCAAAACAATGAATTATTCTTGAAACAAGAATATAAAGTGATCAACAAAATCAAATTGATCGAAGACTCAAACCGATAACTTTAACTAGACTCTACGATCTCTTCAATAATTCTAATCCACTCGCTTAACTAAATCCCATCATCACCAAATTCTTAATGAAATCATGAATTTTCAATTCAAACCTTTAATCAATCAATCCTTAATTAGATAATCAATTCTATCCTAATTCATCCAATAATCATTCCATTTATATTTAATTATACTTTTATGACTTAGTTCCTCATTTTTCCTAATTTTTGGATTTTCCACTATTTAATCATTGTAATTACTTAGAATCACTTTTTTTCCAAATATATCTCAAAACCATAATCTTAATCTAGACAATTCCTCAAGCAAATCACAATCCAAAACAGCTTACAATTCAATATTATCACCAATTACATATGAACATCTAATCTAAAGATCAATTGATAAAAAATCTCACATTTACACTTTGTCCTTTAACTCCTAAGTTCTTCCTAGTTCTCTAAGATTACCAAGCTCCAATCTAGCCAATCTTTGAAATCTTCTTACTTATGGTTTTCCTAAGCTAATTTTAACAATGAATTAATTGAGGAATTTAAGTGAGAATTTGGGAGGAATTTTGGAAGAAGAATGCGTGAGAGAGGGAGAGAAAAGAAAGAAATTTCTAGAGATGGGGCGGTTGTTGCCCCTTTTATACCAGACCCTTTTTTTTTTTTAAGGTTATTACAATCTACCATGTAATAGAGTTAAAAGGATGATGCATTACTCATATATCATCTACCTCGTACTCGACGACTCACATCATGTGCTTAGCTATGGTATTCGATTTATACAATTGCTACGGACCGCAAGGTTAGAAAAAAGTAATATCTTATTTAATTAAAACAAGGTTTGCTCTTATTGATCCTCGATTCAAACTTCGATATCGAGGATGTTTACAAAGCTTGCATTTATCTAATTTACTATTTTCCTTTTCTATAGATCATGCATCTTTTCTCACAATAATGAATCTTTTTCACTCGGTGAACCCATTCTCTTAACCAACTTCTTTGTTTTGTAAAAGTTATCTATCATACAATTATAAGGAGGTATCAACTCCTTCATCAATTCACAAAACTAGTTAAAACACTTTTAAGGAAAATGATATTTGAATTTTAGGTTCGGCATTCGAGCAACTCGTCGACAACTACGAGTGCTCATGATAACCGGACAAAATCTCTCTATAAGATGTATTCAACATATCATAAAAGTACTAAACATTGGGATTTGACACCTCTTTTGTGCTAGACGAATCAAAGGATGGACCGACTACATCCATTACC